AATATTTTGATTCGTAACCAGTATGCTACCAGAGCTCCTTGGAAAAGTTATAGAGCGATGTACTAGGAATATTACAAATTAGTATGTGGTCCTAATCTGTATGGAGGGAGATAGGTTGTAATCTTTATGGGGGAGTTCCTATTTTTTGCCCTAAGCAATGCCAGATTAAAAAAACAGCAAATATTAAGTAATTTGATATACTCAAAAAGTACTGTGGGAAAAAACCTGTATTATACAAATGACTCAAAGTATATGATATAAAATAACTGCCTCAAATCATTAAGTCCACTAGTTTATTATGAAGAAAATCATAAGCTTTAGGCATTTATTCTAAAATTATGTTTTGTTGTACATTCCCCTTAAATACTATCAACTGTTAGGATTTTCTCCTTTAAAGAAGCTACGTTTAACCATACAGGTCTGCTTTTATAAAGTCTGCCTTCCTCATCATAGCAACATTTTAAAAGAGTAATACAATTAAATAATAAATAATATCTGTCCAAGAAAGGAAATCTATCAGTCTAAAACAATTAAAAGAAGGAATAGACCATTGTTCTATTAAGAAGTGTTCTGAGGTCACATTTCATGTCATTTCACTATGTTTTCTTCTGTGTGGCTATCTGGTACCCTCCACCCCCATCCCTTTCCCACCATCTGGAGCTTTAGGAAAGTCCTTTTATATACCCTCCTCTCTTTTTTTTAACTACATTTTATTAACCATTTCTCTGTTAGGAAAGCAATTCAATTTGGTTTCTTTACCATCTGATAGGTAGGGTTGTTCTTGGTTATTAAAGGACACTAGAGACTATGACTGCTTCCAATCTCTTTGGGTGCAGTAAAAGGCTAATCTCCATTCTAAACTACTAAGTACCAGACCCATATATCCAGTTAAATGGTTTACTATTTCCAAATTAGTGCTATCAGAATTCTCATTACTAGTATATTATCAAAGATGGTGGGTAGCGTGCGATCTAGATTAATAATAAAGCTGTTGTTGTTAAGTGCCATTTAGTTGGTTCTGACTCATAGCGACACTGTATAGGGTTTCCGAGGAGCAGCTGGTGAACTTGAACCGCCAACCTTGTGGTTCAAATCGACCCTGCAGTCCAGCGCATTAACCACATCACCACACCAGGACTCCAATTATAAAGCTGGAAATGTAAAAACCATCTTCACAATTCTATATACATAGAGAAATGTAAGCTCCCAAGAAGAACAGATTCAAATAAGGAGCTTTCTGAATTTCTAAAGACTAAATACACTAAGACTTCCACAACAGAAAAGTTAACAATGTCTGTATTGGATATTTCTTCTATCTCCTGGCACCATTTGCATGTGCCATTGAATGGGTTCGAACTCACAGCGACTTTGTACAGGGTTTCTGAAGAGCAGCTGGTGGGTTTGAACTGCTGACCTTCTGGTGCACAGTCCAGTGCCACACCAGGAGTGTGTGTGTATGTGTGACTGTATATGTGTACATATATATACACATACATATTTGTTGTTGGTAAGTGCTGTCGAGTTGGTTCTGACCCAAAGGGACCCTGTAAAGGGTTTCCAAGGAGCAGTTGGTAAGTTGAACCACCGACCTTGGGATTTAAACAAACCTTGTGTTCTAGTGCTTTATCCTACCCAGCCACATCAGGATTACACACACACACACACAAATATACACACACATACATATATGTGTATGTGTGTGAAATGATATCTGGAATCATAGAAGCAAAAATGTATTTATAACACATACCAAGACATACAACTTAACGTTAATAATTTATAATACTTTATCAGTAGTCATTAACAAACGACACAAATAAAACCATTAACAACATATAAAAATATGTGCCTCTAAGGGATCCTTTAACAAGTACGAGTCTACGCTACAGCACACCACCACCACCACCACCGGATCCTTACAATAAGGTTTTCTACAGTATTCCAGCAGCAACTGACAGTTCACAATTGCAGCCATTCATTAGAGTTCCTGGAATGCAGGCTACAGAGTTCACATTGGTCAGCTATCTATGGAAAATGATCTGTACTCTGCTCCTTTTCCAAAAGGCCAGCGATATTGTGCACCTCCCCCATTAACAGAAAAGGAGTGTGTTAAATGTGTAAGTAATTTAACAAATTTTGTAATGTCATTTGTGACTACACATTTTTTTAAAAAAAAACTACTTCCAACCATCATTACATTATCCGGTTTACACAAAATCAATGTGATGAGTCGTAAGGACTGAACATAAGACATTTTCTATTATGAATGGCTAGAATGATATCATATAAACATTATAGTCCCTAATGAGATAGGGTCAATAGCAATGTGAACTGAGAACTTTAAGACATTTTCTTACTCTGTATCATACAACCATGAGCCCTTTTTAGAGGTATCATAGTGTGGCGCTGTGGGTTAATGTGCAAACCTGCTTGAACTGCAAGGTCGGCAGTTCAAGCTCACCAGCTGCTGCTCCTTGGAAACCCTGTACAGGGTGGCTCTGGGTAGGAACCAACTTCATGGCACTTCACAACAACATTATCACTTAGATCTATAAATATAAGGCCTGGTTCTTTAATGGTACTGGTTTCAAAAATGAGTATATATAATGGAAGCAAACCCCCAAGATAGAAGGTTTTCTAAATCAACTTCAACAACCTCAATACTTTTTTGTAAATCTCCCATTTTTGTTCCTTCTTTCTCATGCATATTATTTTCACTGATTTCTTACTTTAAAAACGTTTTAAGAAACAAATACATTATTTATAAACATTGCCTTAGAATCTGAAATTTAAACTACTTACAAAGTTTATGCCAGAATTCTGTAAGATCTCTCACCTCAGTTTGTATTTGAATGACTGTATATAAAACCCTATGTAGGCTTTAATTTGAGAAGGCAACCCAAACTATTATATTAAAATAAAGATTTTTAATTAGATAGTTCTGTCTTCTCAAAAGTATTCATCTCTAGCTAAACAAGCCTGGAAAAACTGTGGGGGTTTTTTTTGGTTTTTTTTTTTCATTACAAGCATAAAACTTTAAAATGCACTTTTCTTTTACAAAGGTTTTCCATTACCAAAAAAAAAAAAAAAAGACTATTTCTATTTAATGGATTTATTCCTTCACCAGGAGTGTTGATCCAATGACGAGTCAAATGCGTAAGATTACATCTTAGAAACTAGACTGAGAATTTAAAAACCAGCAAATATAGTAACAAAATTAGGAAAGCACATTTCATATAAGATGCATATTTTAAAAGACTGGGGAGGAGGGTCAAGGAACTGCACACACATCAAAACCCCTGCCCTGGGATAACAATTGCATTATGAACACTGATACAGTAGTATCTATAGTTCAAACTAGCCATCTTTTCTAGATGAGAGATTGGGCTGGAGGTGGTATTTTACAGAAGCAATGAAGTAAGCAAATGGCTATTTAGCATTAAAAAAATTTGGCTTCTGGAAGCTAGCAAAGGGAAGATGTTTACGGATATTACCAATGGTAACTTAAATCTACAGTTTGGATGTGCATTTGTGGGTGAAGAGTGAAAAATAAAGCAACTAAAAGGGGAATGAATGAAGGATTTTCTGAGCAGCTGATGGAATTAGTTTCTTTTTGGTAGTACCATACACATAAAATTTCTCAATGACTAGCTAGCTAAATTCATTCATGTACTCCTGGCATTCTCTAACAGTTCTTACATGGAAGACTCCCCACAAGCAAGTCACCTATAAAAAAAGATGAGCTCTGAATTACAAAAAGCAGAGAAGATAACTATGTCAGTGAGCATTTTTCAAACCACCAGAAGTATATAACAAAAATCCAAAGCTAATTAGAAACAGAAAGTAAAGCATGTGAAAGAACTCTGAGGAAACAGAAAAAGCTGTAACATCTCATTGTATGTGTCTACGTATCAATTATTCTAGAAATCCATAAAAATAGCTTTGACCTTTCACCACATCTAAAATCAACCTCTCAAAACAGACACCCCAGCAAATAAATGTCATGAACTTGAAAATTTGTCAGTTAAAAAGTAATTGTAAAGCTTTGCCAACAACTTAAGTTTGAAAAATTTGCAAATTTTCTTGTGACATTTCCTGAAAAATCACTAAAAATCCTCATTAAACCATAATCAAACATCAACTGGTTGTGAAACTGATGTGACAATTCACCAATTTTCACTGAAACCACTCAGAGCATCCCTTAAATATAGGGAGCGGATTATTGACATTTACACTTTTTGACTATAAAATTACGTTAAATCTAATTACAGCTTTTACTACCCTTAAGAATCTACTTTATACCTCCCTTTCCGATCTCAAGAGAAAAAGGGACGATGTGAACATCTGCCCAATATACTTTTTTACTTAAAAAAACAAACAAACAAGCCGCATTATCTTGGTCACTGTGAAGCCTTTTGACTTTATACTCCCGATTACTAAACGGCTTAAGGAAGTAATACAATTCAAAGCTGGATTTGACATTTCATCATTCTCTCTCAGCCTTTCCAGATACACTGGAAAAGATTCTTTTATGGATCTTTTTCCACTAGGACTTCTTTGGGCTTTCCACAACGGGAAACTTTTCTAAATAATTTCATATCTCAGCCTTGAAATTTACACTGACAAAAATGCCATCAGGGTTGCTGTGTGATTGGCATCTAGAAAAGAATCAATCATGTGGCGCATAACCTACTAGCTAATATCGCTAAAATCTGAGTATTAAGCTTAAAACCACGCATTTGAATAAGCAATGTGGTACCCCTACTCTTAATTTTTTTAAACAACTGAGACAAGGTAATTTTTACTACTCTTCTTGAGTAGCCAATCCCAAACTGATCTCTTGCAGTTTCAATCAACTTTTAAACACAAAATAAAATTTAAATTTACGAATGCTAAGAAACTGAAATTAGAAAAGAAAATCTCCTGAAGTCTAATCCCAATCTAAATGAATGCTTGACCAAACATTTCTAGCAAATTCTTTAAAATAAAGACTTCCATACCTGTCTTCATCCCCATCGACAGGAATCGCTATGCTGAACACAGAGGTGGTGAGACTGTTCATAGGTGTTAACTGGAGAGGGTTGGCCAGAGCATCTGCAACAGGCGGCTTCACAACAGGCTTGTTTTCAGCAATGAGAGAAAGTGGTGGTTGAGGTAGGGGTTCAGATTTTCTTCTAGTATCGTCCACTTGCCCGACTAAAGGCTGGGTCTGAGTCTGAAACTGGCTGGGGTCGGCTTGCGGTAGACTCGTTGGGGCGCTGGGGGCGCCAGGCGCCGAAGGCAATCCGACGTGCGCGACGACGCTGGCGCTCCTACCACCGGGCAGCTGCGGGGGGCCCAACGGCGCTGGTACATTTGGCATAGTAACAGAAGTGGCAGACACACTAGGCACGCTGGGAGCGGGCACGGCTGCAGGCACGTTGGGAACTCCGGGTACCGCGGCGTGAGATCCGCCGCCCATCTGAGGCGGAAGCCCAGGAGGGAGCTGTGTCACCCCGGGAAGGCCCAGGCCGGGCGTCCCCGCGCCTCCCGAGGCCCCGGCTTCACTGGCCTGGGAAGTGGCGCCCAGCTGCAGGCTGGCCGCCGTAGGGGGGCCGGCACTGGTGGATGAGGGCGGCGGCAGGCCGGCCACGTGCTGCTGCAGGTAGTCACTCGGGCCAGAAGGCTGGCTGGGCAGCAAATGCGCCGGCGCCAGAGGTGGCTGGGGGTACGCGAACTGCTGGGGCTGCGGCGCCGCGGAGCTGCCGGGTGGCGCCAGGGTTACGTTTGTCTGCTGCAGTGCCTGTCCATTGGGCCCATGCGGCGCGATGCCGGGTCCCACCGCCTGGAGCTGGCTGGGCAGCGGAGTGGCCAGCATTTGCGGCGGCCCGCCAGCAGCCCCGGGGAACGGCGGCAGTGGCGCTACGCTCGGAGCCACAGCCCCACCTACGGGTGGCGGCGGCCCAATACCAAAACTCGGTGGCTGGGGCTGGCTCATTTTCTCCGACGGGGGTAGCTGTGACACAGCAGTCAAGGAGCTGTCAGTGCCCGAGTCGGGCCCATGCGCCCCCTGCACGGCGGCCACCACTACCACCACTGACCCCCCGGTGGCGCCCAGGCCGCTGTCCCGATCCGTAGTCTGCTCAAAAGTACTGCTGTGTCGAATGCAATCCCCGGACCGGGTCAAGACGCTGCTGTCGGAATCGCGCTCATAGTATTCCATACACGTCCACCGGCCGCGCCGGTACGGCTCCCCGCTCCCGTGGTCCAGCTTGATCACGCGAAAACGGGAACTACAGGTGGTGGGAGGCTGCGCTGGAGCGGCGGTCCCAGGCCCGGCAGACATGCCCGCGGCAGAGGGGCCGCTCGATGCCCCCGAGGCGGGAGCTGTTGGGACAGCTCCCGCCAGGGTACTGGCCAGAGCCCCAGCCACGTTGCGGGCCGAAACGGCTGCTCCTCCGTTGGTGGGAGCAGCAGCGGCGGCCGCCAGCTGCCCATCCAAAAGGAGGTTTGGAGAGACGGTCCCCGGCGTCTCTGCGTCCCCAACATTGTTGAGCGTTTCTTCGGAGGAGCTGCGCTCGCAGACCTCCTCAGGGCCGTAATCCGTGGTCCGGGAAACGTCGAATATCTCGGAGGAAACGTCTTCTGTACGGGACTCGTCCGGGTCATCCAGACTCTCGGTGTCCTCGGTGATGCTAGTGGCCACCTGGGCCGTGGTGACACTGGTGATCTGGAAGCAGCTTTTCTTCTTGGCCGGCATCTTGGACATTGTGAGAGAAAGGTTGGAAGGCCGAGAGGCACACGCCGGCTCTTCTGGAATCCCGCCGGAAACCGGGAAGGGCAAAGCACCAGCCCCTGAAGACAAAGTCCGTGTCCGCGCAGGGGTCTTCGGCCCGCCGCTCTAACAGTCACGGTCTGATCCCGGCGCCGGCCGCTCGCTGAGGCATCCTCCTCCCCGTCACACTCCCGCGGCGGCTCCTCCTTCCTTTGCACCTCCCGCAGCCGCGGTGTCTCAATCCAATCCCCTCTGTGGCGGCGAGAGTGCGATCCCAAAGACTGGCTGGCTGCTTCCTCCCGCGTCTCCCGGCCGCCGCGGTCAGTCCAGCTCGGCGCTCAGCGCGGTCAGCAGGCCTTGGCTGGGGGTGGGAGTGGGAGGGCGGAGGGGGGAGGAGGCGGCGTGAGGGGCGGTGCTGCCCCGCTCGGGCTCCTCAGGCCGGTGCCGGCGTCAGCTCCTAGCTCTCCGACGCTGAGGAGAGAAGGGGGAGGTGTGGCGAGTCCAAAGCCGGGGATTCCTAATTCAGTCGTCCGGAGCCGCCGGCTGGGGTTGACTAAAGATCCGCAGGCAGGCGGTCCTCCTTCCCCGGCTCTAGCCGGAGCTCAGCCCCAGAGACATGTCGACCGTCTCAGGCGGAAACCCGCTCCGGAGGGGAAAGCCGGCTCGGTCCTCCCCTCAGAGGGGGAGCCACCCCCGCGGGCGGGTGGCGGCAGTCTCGGCCTTCCCTCTAGGCTCTAGAGGGGCGGCGGCGGACCGCTGGTCAGCGAGTGGAGGCGCTCCGGTTATGTGAGGTAGCGGCGGTGTCTTCTTCGGCTTCTCCTCGGTGTGCTCAGTTCGCAAACCCTGGAGAAACTGAAATTCAAACTGCTGAAGCGGCGGCTGCAGCTCCCTCCCCTCGGCCAAGATGGGGCCGAAATGGCCGCGCCAAGGATGCTGGGAAGAGCAGCAGCCCCGCTGCCGCCGCCGCTGCCGACTAAAATGCCGCCGCTGCCGCAGCCACCGCCGGCGCCGCAGCCGCCGCCGTTCCGTGACGCACGACGTCGTGATGTCATCGCCCCGCCCCCTCCGGTTTCCTGCAGAGTTTCGCGTGGAAGCCTGAGGGGGGGAGGCGGTGGGCGGGGCCAAAGGTTAGAAAGGGGAGCGGTTTCTTTATTTAAAAAAATTTTTTAATTTACATTTTGTGGTGAAAACCCTGCAAGTGTTGAAGAGCTGAAGCTATTTTAAATTCCAAGTCTTTGAGAAGCTAATCTACTTTTTAAAAATTTATATCGGTGTGTTCCGAGACACTGAAAGATTGGAGGTCATGTGGTGTCTAATACTGAGCAAAATCTCAGTGAAACAAGGGCGATAGGAATGGGGGTTGGGATTTAGTGGGGATAAAGAAAAAGACGGCTGGAGAAATTGAATCATTTAAGTCTTTCCTGAAGATAAATGTTGACACTATAGTCAGAAGAGTTGACTGTAATGTTGAGAGAAATGGGGATGATTAACAAATGCAAGCCAAATTGAGTCAGAAAAACGATCTCTCAGCCAGAAGTTTTCTCTCCAACAATGGCATCAGGGAATGGTTACTTGCCCAGGGTGAGGTCAGTTTAAAGAAAAGGTTAGGGGTTACCAACATATTCTAATTTTCTTGAATTTGCTGATTCCAACATTGGAGAGTTCATTTAAACTCTTGAGATTGTTTTTACTTTCAGCATGAAATCAGCTTATGGGCTTCATAAATGTTGAATTTACTGCACTAAATTGTTAGAGTTCTCCTTTTGTTTATTCTAAAACGCTTAGTTGGATGCTGAGTAATGTATGATTTGGATTGGGACATGAATGACTAGTCGGAGCACTCTTTGCTATCCCAATACAGAGAATAGCTGTGAAAAGTACTGGCTATTTTACCATTTTTTTTAGCTACTTTTTGGAAAAGAAAAATAAGGTCATTATTTTGAACAGAAAATGGGGAATAAAGAGGGAGAAATCTTGGATTTTGATTTATCAAAGTGCTGTCTAGTCATCATTTAGATAAAATATAGAAGTCTTGATCGAAGTCAAGATTTTTTATCTATTGCATCTTCATCAATCATACATGATTTACATAAATCATTTAAACAAACAAACATTCAGTTCTTTAATCATTATAGAAGTAACTTTTTATCTCACAGGATGTTTTGAAAATTTTTTTAAAAATTCCATTTTTTTGTTTTGTTTTTTAGGACTTGAGTTGTAAATAAGTTTCAGAGATTTTATGTCTTTTAATATTACTAGAAACCATGTTCTCCAAATTCAAGTCACTGAGGTCAGGATGTGAAATAAGACCACATAATAACATCCCTGTTTCTTAAAGGGGGTGGGAATGAGTAAAGTAACAAAGTGTAACATTTTAATGCTATTGTGGCTGAGATAGCTAATGGAATGTTTCATTTCTAAATCTCTAATTTTGGTAATAGGAAAAGACAGTTTTACTTCAATAAATTAAATCAATGGTTGACTCTAATAAGAACTTACAAAATCTTAATTTAATTTTGAATTGATTTACTAAATTGTTATCAATTGGTAGTTTTAAACTTACAGTTTTTGGAAAAATAAGTATTTTATTACTGCTTGTCTCATTACATTTTCTTATTACATAATTTTCTGTGATGATACTCTTCAATTACACATTTAAAGAGAAATCTTAAAAATAATCTATAAGACTTTCTCCTTAAAGAAGACATAAATGATTTGTTATGAAATTAAAGTGTAGATAAAGATAATTTCAAAGCGATTAAGAAGTAGACTATATTCCTGGTAAGGATAGGGTTAAATATGTTAAAAACAGGTTGTTAAGTGCTGTCTACTCTGTTCTGACTTATAACCACCCTATATAGGGTTGCCAAGGAATGGCTGATGGGCTTGAACCACTGATCTTGTGGTTAGCAGTTTAGTGCTTGTCCAATACAGCCATATAACAGGACTCCAAAAACATGCAGGCGGGGGGGGGGGGGGGGGAGAAAATTCATAAAATTAATTAAAGTGTTTCATTTAGATATTAAAAGATATGCATATGTGTATGCATGCTTGAATTTGAAAATGGCTTCCAAAAGTGATAAATACCTTACCTTCATTTATACATTTGTCCAAAAACGAATGTAAAGAATTTATTACATAAAACTGCTTGGATGATTAGAACTCTGGTTATTGCAAGTAAATCTGAAATCATTGTACACAGAACAAATCTAGCTACCATTAAACTATAAAAATCTATGTTATTCATAGTTGATCCACAAAGAATTGGTGGTACTGGTTACGTGCTGTGGAGTTGGTTCTGACTTACAGAGATAGGGTTTCTGAGGCTGCAAATCTTTACGGGAGCAGAAAGCCTCATCTTTCCCCTGTGGAACAGCTGGTAATTTCGAACTGCTGACCTTGAGGTTCTCAGCGCAACTCGTAACCACTACCAGAGCTCCTTCTTGTTGTTAAGTGCCATCAAGTTGTTTCCGACTCATAGCAACTCTGAATAGAGTTTCCAAGGAGCAACTGGTGAGCTTGAACCATCGACCTTGTGGTTCAAACCGACCCCACAGTCCAGCACATTAATCCACAGCGCCACAAAGCCTGTTGTTGTTGAATGCCTTCGAGTTAGTTCTGACTCATAGCAACCGTGTATAGGGTTTCCAAGGAGCAACTGGTGAGCTTGAACCACCAACATTGTGGTTCAAACTGACCTTGCGGTACAGTGCGTTAACTCACAGCGCCATGCCAGGAATAATTAAAATGATAGAAGAGAGGACATGTACAAATACGTATACTCAATGTTTGGTAAATTCATAATAAGCAACATGGTAAAACCCAAACCAAACCAAATCCACATCCATCAGATTGATTCCTATTAATAGTGAACCTAGAGGGCAGGGTAGAATTGCCCCTTTGGGTTTCCAAGACTAAATTTTTACAGGAGTAGATAGCCTGATCTTTCCCCCACAAAGCAGCCATTAATTCAAACTTCTGACCTTGTGGTTAGCAGCCCAACACATAACTCACTACACCACCAGGGTCCCTTAAATAATGTGGTGGTGGTGGCTGCTATTAAGTGCCGCCAAGTCGGTTCCAACTCACAACGACCCTATATAGAGTTTCCAAGGAGCGGCTGGTGGTTTTGAACCGCTGACCTTGTAGTTTCCAGACCAGTGCTGATCCTGCCCAATGATCAGCCCAGTCTAGTGGTCAACACCAGTGAGTTTTTGTTGCTAAGTGCTGTTGAGTCGGTTTCAGCCTATAGCAACCGTGTATAGGGTTTCCGATGAGTGGCTGGTGGGTTTGAATCACTGACTTTGTGGTTTAACCTGTCCTTGCAGTCCAGTGCATCATCCCACAGCACTACACCAGGACTGCGACTATATCCAGTGACTATATCCATTAATTCTAGCCTACCATATTACTTGGACTCCTGGTGTGGCACTGTATCGTTGCTGTGAGTCGGAACAGAATGTATAGCACATAGCAACAACAGTCACTAGAACTGGAGAGATCACTGGAGACCCATATCTCAAAACTTCGGTTCTGAATGCAATTACCCGGGCTCTGTATCTGTACCCTAAAACGATAAGTGGAGACTGGGATTTTCAGTTTCTGCTATTAGGACCCCAATTTGACTTTTCGTCCTACACTTAGTACTTCTTTCAAAGACTTCTAGTGAAAACAATGTATGGTAAGTACATTTAGGTATAACAATGCAGAGCAAAAAAGAAAACAAAACTTAGAAAGGATTATTTTCACTGATGGAAAAAGCTGCTGTAGTAAGACCCTGTCATTTGTAAGCATTTATCCCCAAATTCTACTAGTTTCTTATTTAATGGCACCAAAAACAGGTTTCATAGTCACAAGATTCTGGAAATTGGATTACAGATACCCAAGAAATCTGGACTTTGTCTGTTGTAAATATAATGCACATTATATTTTAAATAATAATGATACATTAAACATTCTGTGTTAAGAGAAAGGAACATCAGACTTCTGTAGAAATTAAGCAACTGTCTAAACTAAGAGAACTAGCCTTTTAGAATTATACTATCAGTCAGTGACATTTTTGAGCACTCCCTGTGTGCGTTAGGAAAACTGTACCCCAACCAACAAGTTTTTCTGGGAT